TTCCTCTTCTCTTTCTGGTAACCCATAATGCAAATATTGGTCGGACTGATGGCATACAATAATTCCCTAAGCTATCTTAACTCTTCAATCTTTCTCCTTTTTGCCTCTCAGATTTAATGAATTCCACTGCCCTGCCTTTGTGTTTTGTTTGTTTTTTTATTTGTATTGAATTTATTGCAGTGACATTGGTTCATAAAAGTATAGAGGTTTCAGGTATATGAGTCTATATTACATTATCTGGATATTGTACTGTGTGTTCAACACCCAAGTCGCGTCTCCTCCATCACCATTTCTCCCTCTTTTACCCTTTTATATCTCCCCTAACTCCCTTTCCTTCTGGTAATCATCATACTGTTTTTTATGTCTATAAGGTTTTTTCTTTGCTTAATCTCCTCACCTTTTTTCACCTAGTCCCCCAACCACCCTCTCCTCTGATTGCTGTCAGTCTGTTCTCTGTAGCTATGAGTCTGTTTCTTTTTGGTTGTTGTTGTTAGTTATTTTGTTCATAAGATTCCACATTTAAGTGACATCATGTGGTACTTATCTTTCTCTGACTGGTATCTCACTTAGCATAATGTTCTCAAGCTCTGTCTGTGTTGTCACAAAAGGTAATATTTCCCTTCTTTTTATGGCCAAGTAGTATCCTATTGTGTAAATATACAATAGTTTTTTTTATCCACTCATCTACTGATGTCCATTGCCCTTTGATTCATTGATTTTTTGTTCCATTTATCTAATCTATTGAATGCTTTGATTGTACTTTTTACTTATTATATTTCAAGCATTGTAATTTCTATTTAGCACTTTTATATATTTTCTTTTTATTGAATTCTGATCCATTTTGTTGATCCATTTTTCTGACTTTAGTGAACAACCTTCTGACAACTACTTTGAATTCTTTATCTGGTAAATCACTTATCCCTGCTTCATAATTGTCTGTTCCTAGAGTGTAAGCTTGCTTTATTTGGAACATATTGTTCTTTTATTCCCCTTGACTGTATTTATTTCTATGCGTTAGATAAAACAACTACTTCTCTCAATCTTGATGTAGTGATTTTGCGTAGAAGATAAATCCCACTGTGTTGTCTTGCTTTACCCCCTTGTTGTCTCTTAAATTTTGTGATTGTCTTTGTCTTCAGAGGCAGCCAGTGGTAGAGGGTCAGTCAAGACCTGGTTATATATATATATTTATGGGTATTTTCTCCTTTGTGTAGTAGTCGCTCAGATAGTTTCTGAAACTCCTTCGGAGGGAGTTGCTCCCTTTGTAGCTGTACAATCTATGTCCTTGGGAAAAGATGAGTTGAGAAGTTGCCCACATCATCATTTTAGACAAATACTCTGTTATTAATAATGTTGTTTCTGTGCATTTCTGTTCTCTCATCTCTGTATAAACTTTAGTCCTTTCCTTTTCCCTCCCAGAAATATATAATAATGTTTATTACGTACTAGGTTCCAGGTGCTAGATTCTGGGGAAAAAATGTATTACTAGCTCTCTGATATTTGTTTCTTAAGTCTGAAACACATGTTTTCATCAGTTGTGACAAAATACTTCAATTGATGAATATCAAAGAAGTGTGATCAAAATACTGTTAGTTGCCAGAGAAGAAAAAGACCTGGCACAGCCAAGGTAGTTTTCAATAGAAATGAATATGAAGAATTCATTTATCACAATTTATCTGAATATGAAGAATGGGTAGTTTGCCAGGCATAATAGTGAAAGAAAATAATGGTCAATGCATAGGAAAGTGAAAATACAAAAGCATGAGGTTGAGAAAGTTGATCACTGGGAGTTTGCTGAGACCAAAATAGAATAAAACTGTAGGAAGGTTAAAACAGTGACAAAAGATGAGGCCGAGGAGGTAAGTTACAGCTGGGATATGAAGAGCCTTTGTCCTATAAGCAGTTTGAACTTGGAAACAACTGAATCACTAGAAAATCTTGGAAAAATCATATGAATCATTTTTGTCTTAAAATAGTTATATATGAGACAATAATGAGAAGGAATGCAAATGATATCAAATGCAGACAGATTTCAAGGAAACTGAAAGATATAAAAAGGGCCCATGGAATACAGAGTTAATCACATGCATAAAGCCTGAATACAAAAGTAATACTTACTATATGTGGACTTTGTGCCAAGTGCAGAAAAACTAAAGAAAGAAAATAAACATGTCTTTAATCCCACAACATAGATATCAGTGATTAACATTTTAGTGTATTTATTTTATAATGTTTTCTCTAAATGCATGTGCATTTTAAAACATCATGACATCTACATACAGACCCTTATGTGATGCACCATCAATTACTCCTTAATTAGAAAGGTAGGGTTTTTACCATTTAAAAACTGTTGCAGTAAATGTGTCTGTGCCTAGGTGCCTTTGCTGACCACTTAGAAGAAACCACTAGATGTACAATTTCTGAGCGAAAAGTAACACATACTTTAAAAAGTCTATCTTCTTTTTTCTTTGTTTACATTGTTTAATTAATTTATTTATTTTTACAATTTTTCCATTGTATTTCAAGTACAGTTTTCTGCCTTTTCCCCCTACCCCTCCCCACCACAGCAGGCCTCCCCACCTCCGTCCCTCATTTCCACCCCCACTTGTTGTCCATGAGTCCTTTATAATTATTTCTGTAAACTCTTCACCCTTCCCTCCCTTTATCCCCTCCTCTCTCTCTTCTGATCACTGTTAGCCTATTCTCAATTTCAATGTCTTCGGCTATACTTTGCTTGCTTTTTATTTTGTTGATTATGCTCCTGTTAATGGTGAGGTCATATGGTATTTGTCTTTCGCTGCCTGGCTTATTTCACTTAGCATAATGCTCTCCAGTTCCATCCATGCTGTCGCAAAGGCCTATTTTCTTTATATTTCTACCAGCGGATTTTAAAAACAGTGACAATGAATAGTTTTATTTTTCCTGAGAATAAGCAAATATGATATCTTACTGTTTAATTTGAATTCCTTTGATTACTTATGAGGTTAAGTAAGTTAAGTTCTTTTAGGGTTCTTGTAACTTCCCTGTTCTGTCCATTTTTTCAACTGACATGTTTATAGTTTTGTATTTGATTTTAAAACGCTCCAGGACTTTTCTGTTTAGGCAAAGTAGAGTTAACAGTTAAAATTACTTATTCCACCATAGAGAAGCTGTAGAGACTGCTCAGAAATTCTAAATGTGTGAAACACAGGAATGCAGCTAGTCTTCAGGTAAAAAAAAATGTGTGCAAATATTTCATGAAAGACTCATAGCTATGCAAACTTACAAAAAGGATGCAAAATGAACTTAAGGAATGAATAACTGGCTGTTTTCAAGGTTTTGGATGAATGAAGCAATGAAATCAAAGGCCTTTGTCCATGGACACAGAAAACAGAGTCGGGGTTGAGTGTGACAGCAGGGGATGAGCTAGGCAGGGGAGAGCAACTGGAGGAAATTGGGACAACTGAAACAGAACAACAATAACAAAATACAAAGAAATTCCTTTGTGTCTGAGAGAAGCTGACTGCACCCAAGCGTGGAGGGCAGCTAGTTAGCAATGTTTTCTATCAAAGTGTATGTGAGAATAAACAGGAAAACACCAAATTGCAATACCTTAAAAAACTACTAATAGGTATCTGCAACCTACTAAACTTCAAACGTGGTAAAGGAAGCTAGTCAAGGTAAAACTGCACAGGATTTACTCATATTCACTCTGAATGTCAGTCCCTTAAAATGCAGGCAACCAGATCCACAAAAAGTGAATAGCCTCTCCTGAAATGTGCATGAACAATTTTCTAACATGGTTATTGAAAACACAATGAAATGTATTCAGTTGAGCAACCGCGATCACACTCAAGATTTAGAAAATTTCCATTACACCATAAGCTCCCTGTCCCTCCCTTGTTCTGTCACTATAAGTTAACTTTCTCTAAAATTTTATATAAAAGGAATCACGAAGGCTGTGCTCGGCAACTTTCGCTTAATACAATGTTTTCTAGATTCATTTATTTTATGAATAAATATTTTGCTTCTATTAAATATAATAACTCAAATACTACCCTCTGTGTCTTAATAGAGCAAATTAGGAATTATTATTTATTTACTTTCCTGGGTATTTAAATATAGTTAATGCAACTTAAATTTAAAAGTATATACTTACTTTTTAGTGGATTTTTAAAATGTTTTAATTCTTTTTATAAACTGGATTTTTTTGAAATATATATTTGCCATTGTTTTATTTTTCAACCTCTGCAACATTTTCTTAATGCTTGTATTATTGCAAACCTAGAGTTGAATACCTAGAAAGACACTCTGCTTAAGTACTTTTTCCAAACAAATTCTTGTTATTGCAGACATTTATTCTTCCCAGTTAAACATTAGCATCATTTTACATAGTGTCTTTCACTAACACCTTATTCTAAGACACTGTTGGAATTTGAATTGGCCTATAATTTTTATGTTATATAATCTTTAAAAAAAATTTATGATATTTGTCTTTCAACCCCTGGCTTATTTCACTCAACATAATGCTTTCCAGTTCCATCCATGTCCTTGATCTCACCTTTAACAGGAAGCTAAACAATAAAACAGACAAGCAAGCAAAATAAAAACAAATACACTGAAATAGAGAACAGGGGGACAGTGACCAGAAGCGAGAGGGGAGGGAATTTAAGGGGAAAAATGGGAGGGATTTAGAGGAACAAGTATAAAGGACACAGGGAGAATAACTAAGGGGGGTGGAGATGGGAGGGAGGTGGGGTGCATGGGGGAGAGGTGGGCTGGTGGGAGAAATGAACAGAAAACTGTACTTTAAAATAACTAAATAAAAATTTAAAAAATATGAATATTTGTTAAAATTGTGGCATTTGTGAGTTTTAAACATATTTATCTATACAAAATGATTACAAGTTACTCTTTAACGCCTTTTTACCTTTTGCAGTACTAGTGTTACAACAAGCTTACCTGGAGAGTACATGGAAGAGTTCCTATTCGTGCATTTCCTTAAACCTAATTTCCTGCATTCTGTAAGTGATTTCAAAGCATACAAGCAGTTTTTTTCAAAATTTCAAACTATTTATTTAATTATGTATTTTATGATATAAACTTTTTCCTATTTTGAATCAGTGAATATGCTGGAAGGTTTGTCAGGTGTCAACTCCTCAAATGTAGAATCTTTATTAGTTTGCACAACTTCTAAATTAAACTGAAAACTGCATACTTTTTTTCATTGCTTTGGTCCTTTTCCAGTGCAGAATTCTTGAGGTTTTCTGAATCAATATTAGCCATGTTTCCTCACAACAGACTCAGTTCTTCCTGAAAGAACACTTCTTAGGGTAGGTGGGAGTGAAGTTGTTTTCAGATGCCAATGAAAGACAGGATGGGACTTTTTCTGCAAATAAAAAATGTATGCACATATACTTATTTAAAAAGAAAATGTAGACTGAGTGAGGTCTGTGACTTGTTCACTTATTTGTTTTTGAAAAAAAGATTTAGGAATAATAGAAGTTCTTCAAAGTAAAAGGCATAATTCATCCTAAAATAATATCATAACTACATATATATTTTCATTTTAAAATATGTGATTGGCAAATTATTATTTTCATTTGTAACTTTGTTACAAGCATTCATCACACCACACACGAGAGATTTAGACAAGTCAATAAATGTAAACTTAGCATAGTTAAGACCATAGACTGTTGGAGTAAAACAGACCTGCCTTTTGGATATAATTCTGCCATTTATATGCCTGTAACTTTTAACCACTTACCTTAAACTTCTAATTCATAATTTTCTTATTTTTAAAATGTAGTTAACATCATCTACCAAATTAAGTTGTTGTAGTATACAAAACAGAGTTTAAAGTCATTGAACAATGCCTGACAGAGTAAAAGCTGAAAAATAGTAATTAAAAATAAGCTGACACAAAGTTATGTATTTTTTCTCATACAATTAAAATGTCAACACAGACATAAATTTGACTATTAAGTATTCTATATAAAACTCAATTGACTATGATAGTTTAAGTGGAAAATGTCCAGAGAACGCTGCCTCATTCATCAAAAGTAATGCCTTCTATAACAAGAACAAAAATACCCATACCATTAGTTAAATACCCATTTTTCTATTTAAATATTTTAAATATATATTTCATTGATTATGCCATTACAATTTTCCCATTTCCCCCTTCATTCCCCTCCCCCCTGAACATCACCTCCCCACCACATTCTACCACTTTAGTTCATGTCCATGTATCATAAGTTCTTTTGCTTCTACATTTCCCACACTACTCTTGCCCTCCCCCTATTTTTTCCTCACTGTCTATGCTACTTATTCTATGTACCTTCTCCTCCCCTCTCTTCCTCCCACTTCCCTCTTGTTAACCCTCCATGTGATCTCCATTTCTGTGGCTCCACACCTATCTAGCTGTCCCTTTACTTTGCTTTTGTTTTAGGTGTGGTTGTTAATAACTGTGAGTTTGCTGAGTCCTTTCACTGTTCATATTTTTGTCTTCTTCTGCTTAGATAAGTTCCTTTAACATTTCATATAATATGGGCTTGGTGATGATGAACTCCTTGAACTTGACCTTATCTGAGAGATGCTTTATCTGCCCTTCCATTCTAAATGAAAGCTTTGCTGGATAGAGCAATCTTGGATGTAAGTCTTTGGTTTTCATGACTTGAAATACTTCTTTCCAGCCCCTTCTTGCCTGTAAGGTCTCTTTTGAGAAATCAGCTGAGAGTCTGATAGGAACTCCTTTGTAGGTGACTGTCCCCTTATCTCTTGCTGCTTCTAGGATTCTCTCCTTCATTTTAATCTTGGCTAATGTAATTATGATGTGCCTTGGTGTGTTCCTTCTTGGTCCGCCTTCTTTGGGACTCTGAGCTTCCTGGACTTCCTGGAAGTCTATTTCCTTTGCCAAATTGGGGCATTCTCCTTTATTAATTGTTCAAATAAGTTTTCCACTTGTTGCTGTTCCTCTTCCCCTTCTAGTACCCCTATAATTTGGAATGTTTAAAGGTGACCTGGAGGTTCCTAAGTCTCTAATTTTTTTGAATTCTTTCACTCCATTGATTTGAGTCCCAGGTTTCTTTCCATCATTGGTTCCCTATGGATTTTTCTTCATTTCGCTTAGCATAACCTTCATTTTTCCATCTTATTTGTGACCAAAATCAAGCAGTTCTGTGAGCATCCTGATCACCAGTGTTTTGAACTGTGTATCTGATAAGTTAGCTATCTCTTGGTCACTTAAAAGTATTGGCTCTGGGGTTTTTATTTGTTCTTCCATTTGAGCCATATTTTTTTTTGTCTGGCCACACCTGTTATGTATGAGGGGTGGAGCTTTACGTGTTCACCAGAGCAGGGCAACCCAGTTGCTGGGTTGTGATGCTATATGTGGCAGAGGGGAGTCAGAGAAGGAACAATGGTACTTGCTCCACTCTGTCTCTGATTTCAGTCCCTTCCGCCACTTCCCACAAGCAAATTGGGCCCTTCTGGTGCTGGTTCCTGGGTGAGTGGGCTTGTGTATGTTCTAGGACCCTCTGGGTCTCTCCAATGAACTGTTCTGTGAGGCTGGGAGTCTCTCCCAGCACCTCAACCCCCACAAGTATTTTCAATGGGTGCTTTTAGGCTTTATTTCCAGGCTCTGGGTCCCTGGGTTGTGTGGTCTATCTTGCTGCTCATTTTTGCCTGGTTTATCTGTGTGGGAATATATGTGCGTGGTCAGCCAACCACCTTGTCAGCCTCACTGGGTCTGCTCATTTCCTCTCCGGGCCCAAGTCTGCCAACCAATGCTTTTTCTTGCCTGGACTCCTCTCCGCTGGCTGCCAACTTCACCCCTCTTACAAGTCTGGATGAATGGTTGTCAGACTTCCATTCAGTTCAGTTTTCTGTCTGTTCTGGTTGTGTTTTTGGTTCTAAATCTTTGTTGCCTTAAATTTGGTTGTGCGAGGAGGTACAGTGTTTCTACTTACACCTCCATCTTAGCCAGAAGAATGCAATTTAAATTTAAATAAACATTTTTGAGGCACACTGTACATGTTCATTCTACACAAAGATGGTTCTTTTCTCTATGCCTTAATGTCTAAGAATGCCTGTTCTTGTGCTTTGGTGAGTTGAAGAAGCTTTGAAAGTTAAGGATAGAAGCACAAACATTTAAGACAAAAATATTGCTGATCATTGCAGGCTCTATTAAATCTTTAATTAAAAAGCACAGGGAAAATAAATTAGCACAACTGAGATTTTAATCTAACTGATATTTCAACCAGTTTATTAACTGACTTCAAGATTAGTCTGCAATGTACACTGTTAAGATGTATATTTTTGATCTGAAAATCTTACAAATATAACTCACTATTCTTATCTCAGAAACAACCAAATTGAACTGTACAATTAAAAGTGATCTTCTATCTGAACAGCTACATGCAAAAAAAAGAAACTCAACCACAAACTTACACCATACACAAAAACAAACTCAAGATGGATAAAAAACTTAAATATAAGTTGTGATAGCATAAAAGTCCTAGAGGAGAACATAGGTAGAAAATATGAGAGAACATAAATTTCAGGTATTCTAAGCAGCAATATTTTCACCGATATGTCCCCTAGAACAAAGGATATAAAGGGAAGAATAAATGAATGGGACTATATCAAATTTAAAAGTTTCTGTATAGAAACTTAAGAATGAGTATATAGTTCCAGGCTATCCTCCTCATATTCCTGGTGTATTTGAGTTGGTTTTGCATTTCATTGGCAATCCAGCATCCTTTGAAATGTGTCATCCCACCCTGGCATTATGGTGACCATACTTTCTGCATTCAATCTGTTGTATCTCCTAGAAGACCTGTTACTAGGGTTTGTACCCAAGCTAAGCCATTGATTCCTGATGGTATAGTTAAGGGGTGTCAGAATCTTATAAGCTCGGATATGGGAAATAGTGAGGACTGCCTGAGGCTCTGGCAGGTGAACCCAAATGTTTTCCCGTGTATACTGACACCACAAGGGCTTATTCCTGATGATCCACACCTTAGCTTCCCAATCTCCAAGTCATGGGATTAATCTCTTTAGAACAGCCCCACAGTCATTGCAAAGGGTTAACGGCCAGGCCACTTGAGTGGTCACAATGCAAACTGCTCTGAGTTGAGGCAGCTATTCTGGTTTATTCCTGTTTCCATCCAGATGACTGAATAGCGACTATAGCCCATATGTGTGACTTGCCCCAACTAGATCCACCTTTATACCAGGATCCGTGGGAATTTCTTTCAGTCCTTTCTCACAGGCCACAGGGGATATCCCAGGAATAGGTGCACAGGCATTTGCGGGATCTACATACCGTACAAGGCCTAGTAGGACCTGCATTTCTAGGGATTACTGACAGGTAGGGTGCTCCTCTGCTGCAAATAAGCATGCTCCCTAGCCAACATGGGGGTTTGGGCCATGGTGGAAGTGGGTCAATGGCACATACTCTCAGCCCACCCTTGACAGGTAGGAAAGTTTGTACCAAGATACTCTGTTTCTTTGTGAGAGCTTCACCTGGAAGAGCATTGCATATATTACTAGGAGTGATGGCTCTTTGGAAGCACATAGGGTTTCTGCCTGCTGGCAGACCTGGACACAAAGTCCTAAAGGCACTCTTTCCTGTTATCTCTGCCACAGTGCCTAATCCATACCTTCTGGGGCCACAAACATCCAATTCAAATGGCAGCCCTGTTTGTGAGAATCTCAGGGCTTTAATATCCTTCACTAGTATTTTTGCCTTTTCTAAGGAAACTTGCTGTTCTGACCCCCAGCCTTACATGTGCTCTTTCTTTACCAGGCAGCCTAAGGGACAGAGACACTGTGCCAAGTGGGAATGGAAGTCCTCCAAAATCCCCAAATAACTAGAGAAGCTACCATCTCTTTGATGCTCTTAGATGTTTATAGGTTTGCATCTCATCGATCACAGCTTCTGAGACAAAGTGCACCTTTTTAAAAACTTTTATTTATTGATTTGAGAGAGAGAAAAGAACATTAATTTGTTGTTCCACCCATCTATGCATTGATTGGTTGGTTGATTTTTGTATGTGCCCTGACTGGTGGTCAAACCCACAACTTTGGACAATACTCCAACCAACTGAGCAACCAGGCCAGGATGACAAAGTGTACCTTACCTGTCTCAACAATTTCCCAAAACTACAGCAGTGAATTTTCTGTGAGTTAAGATTGAGTTGTCTCTCACAATTGTTCCAATAGAATCTACAGAGTATCTTGTAACAGAAGCAAGTCTTTACATGTTAACATTATCTTGTCAAAATAATAGGACCATTTTACTGCTGTGAGGAAGGCAAACATGGACAGATCTTAGGCTAACAGCTCATGATATATTGTGGGGAAGGTAGCCTTGGAGAAGCAAGTGGAAAGTTCATTGTTTCACGTCCCATGTGAGAGCAATTTTATCTTGTCACTCAGTGGCCAGGGATATACTGAAAAAAATTGTTTCCTAAGTCCTAGTACATTCCAAGGTATCTAAAATAATGGCAGTGTGGGACACAGACACACAGATGGGATTTACCTTTCAACTTGCTGTCATCTGTCATGAGCCACCTGGCTTTTCTACCACCATATCTGGCTGTTGAAATGAAAGTACCATGGGGAGGGCATACAACACCCACCCAGTGTAGTTCTTGGATAGTTTCTCTCATTTTATTATGCTCCCCACCCAGGCAGGCAATTTATATTGTTGGACAGTTATGGTTCTTCATGCAGGTGGTAGATTTACTGGTCCAGCTGGCATTTCCCCTTAGCACTAGTTTAATCACTCTAACCCAGAGATGGAATTCAAGTAATAGAGATTTGCACTTTGACTTTGTAGGCTATTGATGCTCAGTATGTTATCTGGTATTGAAGAGAGAAAACCTTGTATTCTTGTGTGGAAGAACACCCAATTTGTAATGTTATGGGACCTTCCTAGACATAACCATTTACCCTCTGTAATCATCTGTGGTGCTGAAAGGGCCAGAAAACTTCTGAGATTTACCATGATTAGAGCACATTTAGCTCCAGTGTCAACCAGGACCCTCACCTTTTGTTTGTTTCTTGGGGGCCACTGAAAAGTGAGGTAAACATAAAGCCTTCAAGTGTCCTCAGTGATTTGGGGGCAATCTTGGCCAGGGTTTGTAGCCTGGGGCATGGGAAGCACCTATCTCTAATTGAGCTGTATCCCTGAGGCCTTTGCTGGAGCAGGCATGGCCTCAGGGAAGGTTGGCACATGTCTGAACTGTTGTTTAGATTTAAGGCTTTTCAAAGTCTGATGAATACAATGTTAAGTGGCTGGTCTGTCTTTCTAGGTGGACACCTGGCAGCAAGAATGTCAAACCATATTTGTTTTGGGGTTACTTTTATAAACACCTTAAGGCCGAATGGGATAGTCTTTCTGCTTCCCCAGTTCCCTCTCTGCTATGCGCCTTTCTCATAGTCTGTACCCATTCCTGGGACTTGTCCTTTTCACCCAGATCAGCAATGCATTGTCCAACATCGTAAATGCTTTGTTCCAGAGCTGGGGCTGGCATGGATGTCAGTGCCCCATTCCAGCTCCTGGGTGTGGACTAAAATAGTTTGGCTTTGACTTCTGCAACAAATATGGCCATATTAGGGTCTTAAAGTCAAGAGCCTAGATTGCTCATCTTATTTCCAACTCCCTAACAAGTTGTCCTTTATGTATTTCCAGGGCCCCTTGTGCCTAGGGCAATGCCTTTCATTGGGTCTAGCCTCCCTACAGGCCAGAATAATCCAATCTCTAAGGGAGTTGAGTACCTTTAATCTCCTAAATACCAAGCAGATGTTTCGAGGAGGCAGGGTGTGGGGTGACAATTGCTCATTTCTTCTGTTACCTGCCCAGTCAAAGAAAGGCCACGCCCCCCTCTATTTTATACCAATGATGACCATGCCTGACAGCTGTCTTTGGCAGTTTGTTAGGACTTGGGCAGCTATATCAATAAGCTTAACAAGACTATATTCTCTCATCACAAACATTTCCTGAACTGGGGGCTGCCCTGCTTTCATTGTTGCTGTGCTTCTGTTTTCCTTTGTATTATACAGGTTCCAACTGCACAGGACATTTTATCCATTTCACTGCCAATCACAACATCTTGCCCATCTTCTCTTCATTTTCCCAGGGATTCCACCCCTTAGTGTCCCAGTTTGGCTTTGTCAAAAGTGCTCAAACCTTAAGTTACATCAACTTGTGCCCTCCTAGGTTTCAAAACCATCATGCAAAGGTCTCTAACTTATTATCTTGTTTACCCACCTTGGCTGCAAGCCTCAAAACTAGCAGAGCAGTAGATAAGCACACATCCTTTTCTAACCTCAGCTCTTCTTCCAACTTTCTAACTCAAGCTTTAGACTCTAGTTGGGCACTCACGGTCAGCCAAAGTGCTTAAAAAAGAGGCCAGCTCACTGTGGTGAGGGTTGTTTTCCTGTTTGTCACAGTGTGCTTTGCACAGCTGCTCAAACAAGTGCATTAGCCCAGCTGGCATTGTGGGGCTGTCTCCATATTCAGATGGTACCTTACATACAGGCCACCCCTTCCCACATAGAAATCAGTGGCCAACTCAGGATTTCCTTTGAGAAGGCCTCTTTCCCAACGCTCACTTCCATGGTCTTCTGGCTGGCTTGCCAATTTTTGGTTCATAAACTCAGCGGTTTCCCAGGTAAAATCTGAATTATCTACCACATATGAAGGGCAATCAGAGACCAAGAAAGAAGGAGGTCATTGCAAACTAGTAGGTGGCAGATATCATAAGCAAGGGAACTAACCTTTGAGGCTTGTCTTGGGTGACTGCAAAGGAGTAGATCTTCACACCTACCCACCAGTATCTTAAAGGTTTATATGGAGGCCTTACATGGGTTTACTCAGGTATACCATCCAGATGGTCTCAATAACACTGAAGAAATCAAAAGACTGTCAGAATAAATAGAAATAAATTATGTTCATAGATAATAAAACTAACAGTGGAAATGCATCAGTATCTCCAAGTAAATCAATAAATAACTTCAATTAAATTCCAATCATAATTGCAGCTGAATTTTTAAGGAATGCAACAAGCTGTCTCCAAAATTTGAGAAGAACAAATGTCAAAAAATACTAAGGTGTTTTTTTTGAAGCAGAAAAGCAAAGCTTGATGACTTGCCCTGGCGAATACCGACATAGTCCAAAACTGCAATATTGAAAAAAAATATTTCAGTTCTGGCTCAGGAGCAGCTCAGGGGAAAAAAAGACAACCATTTGGGAACTTGATATGTAACCAAGATGGCATAATAATGTAAGCAAAAAGAAACAAATTGTTTAGTAGATAATGTCACCAAGACAAACTCACTAAACCAAGGAAATAGAGTTGGGCCTCTATATTAGAGCACGTGCGAAGATAAACCCTACAAGGATTAAAACTTACTTTTCAAGTTAAAACCATGACACTGATAAAATAAAACATTTTTACAAAATAAAACTTTTAAAATTTATATTTAGATTTTAAGTTTTAAATCTTAAAATTACAAATTTTAAAATTTATATTTATTTAAAGACTTTGAGAACAATGATATGTAATTATTAGTTTCAGGTGCATAACAGAGTGATCAGATACAGAAACAGAACTTTTAAACAGTATGCCTAAGTTAAAAGAAGAGTAACAATATATGGATATACAATAATGAAGGATTTTTATTATTTATAAAATACTATAGATGAAGCTATAGAACTGAAAAAAACTAGTAGAAAATACTTTGACTCACAAAAAAAAATGTGTGAGTCAATAGAAAACAATAAGCTACCCAATTATGAAATAAGTAATTTGAATAAATAACTCACATAAAAGAATGCATTAATATCTGATCAACAAGTAAAGAGATGCACAAACTCCCCAGTAATCACAGTAAAAACAGGTTAAATCAGCTCTTATTGAAATGGCAAATATCTGGGTGGTGACTTAGAGAGAAAGCAACTCTATACATTGGAGTCTAAACTGGACTGTTCTGATAAGCAATCTGGTAAAAATAGCAAAATAAAATGTAGGTGAGTACTATTTTCTAGCAACCCAGCTCTGGTATGAATATAGGATCCAGGTAAATTTCTCACCAAGAGCTCTTTTCTTCTTTTATCACAAAAATTTGACTGATTTTGGTCTTGGTTCTTGTGGCTCAGGTGATGTTACATGTACTGTCTGTGGGTTTGCATATGATCCAGTGCGGGAGAAATTTCTGTGCCTTCTGTAGAGATGCTGTGAGTTGGACACTACTGGGAAATAAGAAAGAGCAGAAAAACCTAAGTTAGACTGAGAAAGAGTTAGAGTCCTTGTTACTAGGATGAGAGAGAGATGGGTTTCCCTCACCATCAGAGAGGTATGCTTCACTCTCAAGCAGCTGGCCAGCAGTGCTCAATACATTAATCTGGAAGCAACATCTATCCATTTATTGAAAACTTACTATATGCCTAGCAATACAGGAGGCTTTAAGTATGCTGTATATTAATTAGAAAGCATAAATAAATATATGTTAGATGAAATAATTGGTAAGAATAAAAAAGAAAGTCATAAAATTGTTACTGGAGAAACTCAGTTCTTCTTTCTGGTGCAGTAAAGAATTACAGATCAGCAAGTCTATTAGCATGCAAACAGGGTTTATTAGTGATAGGTTCTTATGGAAGGGAATGGGCCTTGCTGAGATGGGGGAGAAAGGAATAGATTCAACACATGGCAAGTTAAGGACAGCAAGAGACAAGGGCAAATGTGGTGAGAGCATCAGGTCCTTTATTTTAAAGTCTTACATAGTTGGTGGGATAGGGGTGAAGGTCACATATTGATTGATGAGTAAAGTACCCCTTTGAGGGGTTGGAGTACATGTTAACTTTGAGATACTTATTTGTCAACTCATTGGCCAACATACAATTAGACATAAATGTTGGGAGGTCAAAGAAGGGCCCAGGTTATATATAAATTGGGGAGTCATCAGAATAAAATAGCATTTAATCATGAGACTATATGTGATAGCCTATACAGTGAGTGTGTATAGAAAAAGAAAAGTTTCAAAGACTAAGTCCAGTGCTCCATTTTAAGTTCAAGAGAGAAATAAATAGAAAAGGAGAATTAAAAAGGGCAGCCAGGAAGGAAGAAAAACTAGGTGAGTTTGATGTCCTAATAACCAAGTGAAAACATTTTTTAAGAAGGAGATATTTATAAAATGTCAGATGTTGCTAACTCACATAAAGTGAAGATGGCAAAATTACCTTTATTATAGCAACACAGGGTCACTGCAATCTTGATAAAAGCAGTTTTAATGAAATATGGGTGAGTAAATATAATTTTAATAGATTAAAGACAGCAGGTACAGACATCTATTAGAAGTTTACTCTCTAGGAAAGAATAGAAGTAGAAGACATAATGTGGCTTCTTGAGGGAGAGATAGAGGAAGAGAAATTTGTTTTTGTTCTCTGTTATTAATGGGAGAATAGTGGTCATAATGTGGTTATCACATTGAAGGAATGACCTTACAGAAGGAAAACTTGATGATACTAGATTCTTAGGTAAGTGTTGTAGGACATTGTTCTCAAGCATAGAAGAGGGCATGTACCTTGGGCACAGATATCACTGTTGGCCTTGGCTTTGGCTAGAGCCATGTGCAGCTCATTCATTGTGAGAGGCATGAAACTGTAGCACACAAGCAGGGTGCAAATATACAGGTAAGTGGTGGTGTTTGAGTCTGTGGAAGCTCTCTTCTGATTGCAACAATTTTGTTAGTATATAAGAATATGGAAATGAGAATTAGAATGAAGAAAATGGACAAAAAATTAAAAGTTTAGGAGAGAGAGGTGAAACAGTCCAAATCTGTGAGGATTCTTAAGCAGAGGTTGGACAAATCTCTGTACACCACATTTTGCTATCTAAATCACATCTTTTAAATTATGCCCTTAAACTTGGACAAAAATTTTGAAACATTCATAATTGCTGTGGATCTTCCCTGAGGACCACAGCAGCAACTGCAAATCCTACACAGTTTAAAGGACTGAAAGTTTGATGTAGAATTGAAGGGCAAAGTGTGATGGAAATTTAATTTCTCATGAAAAAAGTAGTTGAAGACAAAACCATATTTATATTATTTGCAAGACTAGAAATAAAAAAAATTGTGACATTTTATCACAATGGTATAATTTATACTGTTATAGAAAAAAAGCATATGCACTCACTCTCTGTTATTCACTCAAAAATATATATGTGGAACATTTGCTCTATTCTACACACAGCACCAAGTTCCAAAACTACAATTTCTATGAAATGTTTAATGTCATTGTCTGTGGTGAGACAGATAATAAACAAAATAAGATTATAAATCACATTAATAAATAGTATGTTCAAGAGCAGTCAGAGCTATGGAGAAAGTCAGGCAAGAGCAGCAAATCGTAAGTACACAAAGCTCTTCCCAGAAATCATAATCAAAAAGGAAGTTAGATATGTATTGGGTATGCAGTGCCTTGAGGGGCAAGAGGTGAATGATGTTTTTGTTTTTGTTTTTTTCAGATGAGAAAATAATAGTTGATTCTGCACTGATTGGAATGATGTAGTAAAGAAGAAAATGTTGATGAACACACAGAAAGGGGTGCTCACTGAAGCTACTGCTCTGAGTAGGTGGAAGGAAGCCTTGACATCAAGTCATATATGATGATCATCACAGGATAAAAAGGAGAGTATCCAGATAAAAATAAATGGGTATGGGGTTTTAATAGATATGATGGAAAGAATAAGAGATATGAAGGACAGAGTGCATCTCAAGGAGTCCCAGAGGAAAGGATAAAGAAAGTTGGGGAGAGCAAAGTGATAAAGCCTGAGGATTTCCTTGAGTTGATCGACTTGAAGATGTTATGGGAACAAATAGAAGAGAGAATGGTGGATTGTGATGAGAGGTGGTTTAGTTATGATTTCCATGAGCTCATATTTTGTTGATCTGAGTTTTGAAAAAACACGGTGATGAGTTATTAGGATGCATGTGTATATACATGGAGGAAAGTATTAATTGATAGAGCTGTGTCACCTATTTTATTAAATACAGTTACTTATAAGTACCATATTCACCAAAAGAATAAAAGAGTTTTGTTCAATGTTCATAAGAATGAAAATTATGTCTCTCTTTGGGGCAAAGGTTAGTTGACCACATTTGTTCTTGCACATGATCAGAGTTTTCTAATTTCAAGGTTCCTTGACAGTGACACAGCCCACTGGGTGCACTTTGTCCACCTGAGCCCACCTCTGCCTTGCCTCCATGGGACCTGTGGAGCAAGGGAAGCTGACGTGGACATGAAGAATATGTTGCCTGCTGTGCTGTGAGTAAAGTCCTTTGTCTCTGCCCCAGGAATCTTCCGTCTTCTGCTACCATCTATGAAATTGCAGCAGATCAATTTGTTAGCTTGTAAACAGTGCAATCTCAGACCTTTAACAGTTCTCAACACATCCAGTCCTTCCAATTTTGACTTTTCTTCCTTGTACTGTTTATCACTTAATTTCTGGTCATTTCACCATTTTCTATTTAATGCTAGTCTATATTACCTTATTTTTTGCTATTCTTTATTTACTAAACATGATCTCATCTTCTGTTTATGAACACAGCACCTCATTCAGAACTTGGCATATAATATATATTTTTTTGGAGAATCCAGTGCATTTAAAACTTTCTATCTCTTCTCCCTTAACTTAACATTGACAACTTGAATTATATGTACTTAATGTCAGTTAATTTAGTGTTGAGTTTCAATTATTAATTTCCTTCTAAATTATAGGATATTGAATTAATTGAAGCAATTTTATTTTTCAAGAGTTTGATGCCCTATTTTCTTCTTTCTAGGGGATTTCCCCCTTTCTCTCTCCCTTTTGATGTATAGGGCCATTTAAGTCGTCAGTGTATTTCTGGAAAACTAAAACCCCAAGTCTAAGCCTGTTGAACCTCTGTCACACGAGTATTTGAAAGAACAGTACTTAAGGGAAATAGAAAATGACACTTTTCCCCTCATCTTTTGAAGACGAAACGACCCCCCCCTTCAATTCTACCAAAAGAGATCCCCAGCTCATTTTCCTCAGCAAAAGCTTTAAAGTGTAAAAAACTCATCAAACATTTTTTCCTCTGAGACAATGTCATCGGAGTTCAAAGGTTGTACACAGCTCTGCAAAACTGCTGTCTTGTTTCAGTGATAAGGCTTTGGCTTTCATTTTATGTTTGATTCCAAGGAAATCAAATCTGTTTTTATGTATACTATGCCTATAACTAAGCCAGGAAATTAGGAGAAGTGATCTATTTCTGCAGACAGCTGAGGGAAGTGTGAGGGTAGAAGTTTCCAGTTAAAAAAAGTAATCCTGAAATGACTTCTCAACTAGGTTACATTTTCACTCCAGATATGCTTGTTTATTAAATCTGAAAACATATATTTATCCTTCCACAAAATGCACAAATCCTATACTGTTGCTCTTGGGAATATTGTTGTCTTCCCATGGTTAGCTCTTTACTGGCTAACTAGAAGGATATGGGTAATGCTTTTTTTCTTGCATATTTTTCTCCAGATGTGGTCAAAACTTTTGCACCATAATGATTAGCAATTTTTTGTTAAAGAAAAATTTTAGTTTCATTCAAGGACCTACTAAATTGGAGTTTATGGACATGGACACAGAAAATCTTCACTGAAAAAAATCCTACTACATGCACTTTTATTTCAGAATGGTTAATTCTTTCAATACAGTAATACTCAATACAATACTTCAGCTATAACACATTAGTTTTCATATGCATTCAAAAACCACAGGCAGATATTATTAAGTAAACTATATCTCTGTGATAGAAGATGAAGGACTAACAACCTCCTCACTCAAATTCAGTTATAACCATTTAGCATGGTTATTGGGCAAATTCATTTACTTTTCCAGAGTAAAGATGTACTTGTAAATAATTTTTCTCTTTAAGTTCAGATACAGTATGCATAAAATAAAAATGTTAAGATACTGTTACCTGTAAAACCTACAGGTAAAAGTATTCCCCAAAATGACATATGGTAGTAACTTTGTTTTATATGAAATATATATTCATTTTAACCTCAAATATTATATTATACTAATGTTTAGAAGAATTAACTCTTTATATGTTCTGATCAAATATAAGTACATAGTTTTAGAATGAAGGGGGTTGACTCCCTGACACTTCAACACA